TTGTTTTATTTATATAATTTATAATATGGATAGATAGATATAAGTGCGTGTTATAGTCTAGTATACAGGGCAGTTGCGCAGACGCAATTCTGTGTCTGTTTCATGTTGGATTTAACAAACAGCTCTGTATGCATGACCGATATAAGCGTTTCATGTTTTTAAACATTGAGCTGTGGATCCAATTAAAAACATTCAAAATTTTAAATTCAATAAAAAACCGTTACGGATATGTGTTATACGCCAACCAAGCTTTACCAACCTCACCTCTATTTTGCAACCTTTTAACAGGAGTTCTATTTTTGTGTCATCATTTCTACAAACTTTTCAAATTTGTATATTTGTTGTCTGTGCATATTTATCACTGGCCGGTTACACAGCACTTAACATTTTGCTATGAACAAAAGTTATACATTAATATTCCTGTCAAGTTTTACCATTTCTTCTTAAACTATACAATAGGCTTAACGTTATGTTCGTGTGTGTGCTTATTACTTGAAGTGAAATGCGATCTAGCACATTCAATAAATTATTATTTCATTACGTAATATTAAATACATATTAATTTTAACTCTGTTTAATATTAACATTAAAGTTTCAATACAATATTATTTTATTATTGATTTTTATAAAAATATTTTGTAAAAAAGTAAAAAACTTTAGTTTAAAAGGAAATAAAGAATTTCATTAAAGTGTATCTGGTAAAACAAACAATATTTAATGTACTGATAGGTATAGAATAATATGTTTATATTTTTAAAATTGGATAAGAAAAAAGAATATTATTCTATAACCACTCGAATCAATAGCTTGTCAAGAGCATAGTTTTTGTATAGCCAAATATCACAAGGTGTTTCATTTTAATGTCCAATAATAACTTCCTTCAGGACAATCTTGCTCAATCGGGCCATTTGCATGCGCGTCGCGGAGCGTTCGCGTGGGTAGACGCGCTTACATGGATCGTAAATTTTGTCCTTTTGCTTCCAAGGAATGTTCTATAGGAGCATATGCCCATTTTTACTTAGGGCTAAATTATTGCTAGTTTAGGGGGAGGCCATGCGAAGTGGATAACAATATTCATCGTTGATTTTTATAACGCGTTAACTTCAAACTTCTACGACTATTATTATTTTAAGTTATTAAGATTATTCCGTACCCCATCGATCACTTGTTATTTACATTATTAATGTAAATTAGTAGTTAGCTGTAATGTTTACAATTTAATCCTTATTCCATTAAAAAACCTTTCGGAATTTCAGCCAGAGGGAACAGACTGAAAATCAGCGCTGTGAAATGTTTTTCTTACAGCCATATCGATTTTGTATAGATCTACTGTTGGTTTTTTTTACTATTTTTGCGTCATAAAACAAAATTTTCTTTCTTTAAAACACTAACCACAACTAGAAACCTTTCCTTGTTATTTATATGCTTTATATACTTTATTGTTAGCGTGTGAAACTTAATGCAAGTATTTACACCGTTTAATTATTAAATAACTAACTTATGAAAAATGTTATTCGTCACTGCACGTCTACGTAAGTGCGACACAGCGAGATAAAAAATACACGAATCGAATACATTTGCGACTTACGAACCGAGTTACTCATCCTATTGCTCACTGTGTAATTCTGACTCCAGCGTATTAGCTGGAGATATAAATCTATCAATAAATATTTACAGGAACGATGTCAGATGCTACGCAACAATGAACACAATATGTATCGAAAATATTACTGAGGCGTTGACTCATCTGCACTCCTAACACGCTATTGAAAATCGGCATTAATTACTGCACTAAAGTAATATAAAACAACCCGTTGTTACTAAGACGTTGGTTTTATAATTAGTAATGGGCAATTAAATTCTACACGTGCCTCACAGAGCACGTCAAGCCGACGGTCCCGGTTATCATCACTAATATAGTGGTCGCTAAAGTCCGTTAATACGCACGGCGGGTTGGTGGTGGGCCCAGCTGTGGGATTTATATTGTGTACCACAATTATATGCATTGGCATACAATTCGATAGTGATGGTACAACAAACAGATTAGTTAGATGCCTTTAGAGTGCTGGGCTTGTGGTGTACGCTAAGTGGCGAGGACGGATTACGCCTTCGTGTTTGCTTACCGGCGAAGTGGACATTTAGAGATTGTCCCTCTAATGCTCTCTATTCCCTATCGATCTCTGAATCATTGATGAGCTGGGTACTGGTGGGTCATTATTGTAAATAAACACGACGAAGAGTAGAACCAATTTTTATAATCGATGATAAACATTATTTGATTCCTCATACTTAAATGGAACTTGAAACTATATCATATAGGTCAGTTAACTAATATATGTAGCGATTTAAACCGTTGAAGGCGTTTAATGTAATGTCTTAATTTTATTTGACATTTGGTGCTTAATTTTGATAGCCTATTACCGTGTCATCCATATTTTATATTGTTGTAACAACGATTAGTGTAAAAAACGTCAAGTCCATATTTTAAGCCTAATTATCAACGATAAGGTCTATCAGAAACCTTACAATATCCAACTAATAATAATGAAAGTGATGCTATAGAAGGCCAAGCTCTAGTCAATGAACTTCAGATGAATAGGAAAAACATTTTCGATTTCGGAAATGGCTCAATTTGAAAAGCCATTGTACTCTTGGGGTTAAACTTTTCTTATTATTTAGGTGCCTTTTATTTAAGAATGGAAGTTGTTACCGTGGGTGTGGCAATTATACAATTTCGATCGGTCTTGTTTATCGATTAGTTTAGAATGCGCGCCTATAGGCCAACTTTAGTCATTTGGCTGGGAAGTCAAGGACAATGTCGTGGAGCTCGTCGCTGCGAGAGCCTTATTTGGCGATTGGTGGGCGCCATATTTATGACTTTGCCTTTTTTCCTACGTTCCATGTTCTCTTACGTCATTTGAGATTCGATAATATTATCTAATAAGAAATGTTTATTTTTTGGTAATGGATAAGCCTGTTACTGACAACGACAGTTGTTATATTATTAAAAACATATCAAAAACGTAAATATAATCTTTAAAAAACTAACCTTTATATTTTTTTAACCTAACACTAATGTTTTAATATCTTCACTAAGAACTATAAAATGAATATAATTTGACATATCTTATCGTATATATCGCTACATCAGGTGGAAATTATTTTATTTTGTAACTTATAAGTTAAGATCCACTATGAAAATTCACAATAGTATGTTAATGACGCACAGTGCATCCATATCGTATATCCGTCTTTGAACTTGTGGAATATCATGCGTACGAATTGGAAGACTCAACATTAATTCTCCATCCGCCCGTTGTCGCCTGGAAAAATGGAATGTGACATTTTAATGTGGCGCAAAGCTCGCAACATTAATCTGGCACGTCGCCCTCACGCAGGCTGTGCTTCGCTCCCTGAACTTCAGTGGAAGACTTTCTGAAAGATTCTTGCATCCTCTATATTGCATGAAATTCTTTAAGACTTCATTTATTTAATTCGCAAGTAAATAATAAATTAATAAGCAATGCTGTACTTGACTTTAAGTTAAATACTTATGTGGTAGCTTTCAATAAATATTAAGTTGCTAAGCCTTTTTGAAAAAAAAAAACATTTTATAGATAGATTCGTTATTCGTAGTTTAGCGGTTTTTTGTATGGAATTAATTACTAGCCTTAAAAAGATAGAATTAAAACTAGTTTCATAGTATTATTCCTTATTGTCGCAGCTTTCTCGTATAGCGGCTTATAAATTCATCCAATTCAAACGTTTCAAAAAAGGCCGTCTGTGACGCCGTGAGCATAAACTTTGCACTATATGGAGCTTCGTGTTAAAAGCTTATTTACGCCTACACTCATTTCAGAGATTTTTAAAGTGCGAAGTTTACTTGCGGGTGAAAAGTTTTCATTATTAATTGAATGGGTTTAAACCTGGTAAGTTATGCTCATAAGATTTCAGATTGCTTAATGTTTAGCGGCACAGTGTTAACTGATCCTTTCATTTAAAGGTTAATATAATTTAATTATGTAGCTTATGTCAATTAATAATAATTATTTAACTAGGTCTTCAATTTACACCGTCTACCGCGGTTTATCAGTTTAAAATTTAGCAATTTAAATGTCCAGTTTTCTTCAGCATATAGCGTGCGGTAGCCTATCTCCATAAAAGCACGATGGCCTGGATTCTGCTAACTAATTAGACGGCTGCTTAACCCATATTTTCCTAGCTATTAATGTTATTATCAACTGTTTTCAGCTTGTTCTCTGCGATGCTCTCATTTACTTGTGCATTGTCATGGCGAAACGAAAGCCGACCCGGTAATGGAGTTTTTAAACGCAGCTTTTTCGCTTTGCACTGCAAAAGGGATTATGTAACTAGAATAGCGACGTGATTGCACAGTAAACACTACGGGAGCTCGTACAGATTTATTGTTTTAACTCTCGACTAGGGAATTCCCGACATAAATTAGTAGACAGGATTTTCCTTAGAAAATGCAAAGTTCACATTACGATGAATTAAATTAAAATATTTACGGAATAGTCGTCTCGCTGGTAACCGATTTAATTAAACTTCCGATCGTTCTGCGGAATCTTCTTCCTTCATTTGATGGGTTTGAGATGGGAAAGAATTGTGTCGGAATTTTTGGACTTTGTCTAAGTTTAATAAATATAAATATATTAAAAAACAATTTGTTATTGACCTATTTTGTGTAGCAAAACTAGAATTAAAATACATGCGAACTAAATATATGTTACTAGTTTTTTAAACACATTATTTTTCATAAATCCGAATAACTCAATTGATTATAAAATATAACTAGAGCGTTACCTCTCCCAAGTTCAATTCGACGGCAACTACGAGAAGCCGCGAGGGCACTGCGGGTTCAATATCCCCATAATTTACCGAGCATATAGGAAAACTTTAATTACTTCGCTTTAATATTTTCTCCAATTTATGAAGATGTTTTAATACAATTTTAATTTACAGAACTGTTTTCTTTACAGATATATAGCCCGGAGTCATACAGTTACAAGAAGCTCATTTAGAAGTAAGTTTAAAATTTGTTTTGAATTTACACTGTAAAAAAAAACTTCCTCGATAACTTATTGGCTAGCATTACGTTATGCACGAAAGGCCTGAGTCCTTTGTGGGGCACATGCTAATGTTAGCCCTAAACATAATTGCAATGCAACCTTCAAGTAATTTAATGATCAAACTTCAGAGGCTCATTGAAAATTAAACTTTTTGTCTCTCCAGAATTCGAAGCAAAGCACAAACCTTACAATGCCTAATGCAATGCTAGACAGTTCATTTGTCTATTAACCTACCGAGCCTGTTTATACATTCTGTCTGTATTTACAACAAAAACCACTTTTAAAATGAGTACACCGGAGCAGTAAGACTCCTGAAAGAATTACAACTCGTAAAGGTATATTACTCATAAAGTAATCCATTTCACGTTTTGTTTCATCCCGAACACTCCCACCCGCTCTTAAAACGCCATTTGGCTTATAGTAACTCTAAAACAGTATTCATCATTTACACTGCTTTTGTATATTTTGTCTAGCTGGAAATGTATCTCGTATTTTAATATTTTACAATGTCCCCGTCATATTTTTCATGATTACTCTCCTGGCAAAAGACCAAGATCTCTCGCGTATCTTTCGTAACTTTGCTTTCGGCGAAGTGTCTGGAATTCGACTGATAAACGACTGATTAATCTGGTAACTAGCTTTTCGATTTGTTATATTCGAATATTCAATACCTCACAATCCGCCGGGACACTTAATCCGCTCTCGCGATATAAAGAAGTCAGAATAACCTCGTTCGGCTCAGTTTTCAACGCGATTGCTATCTTTTGTCCTCTTGAAATATTACACCATTATATCTCGACTATCGAAGTTAGCTAGTTTCCAGCATTACGAGGGCTATTTTTAAGTGACATTGTTCTTGTTCAGACGTTTATGAAAGGGAAAGTAGTCGTTTTGTCTGCCCGTACAGTCTGAATTGCTAATGCCGGTCGTCATTTGCCTTTTTGTTAACTTATGTGCGCGGGCCAGGTTACCAAAGCGAACGCTCTGAAGAAACATTAGCCATTGTCTGGAGCAACCGAACCAATGCGCATAAATAAATGTCAGATTGCTACAGCGTTATTTTCAACGTTGCATGTCTAAAAGCAAGACACACTCGAGCTTTTATTGCATTTACGTAAATAGTAAACTTCGTTATATGTAGCTTCATTGTTCATAGTTTTTACAAATAATTTTAATTAGTGTTTAAGAAATATTTAAAAACAGAACACCGCCAGGTCTCGAACTCGCTTACTGTATAGCAAAGAGACATCAATGTACCTAATTTATACTAAAGGAATCTTCCAATCCAGAACTGATTTGTTAATTAACCGTCGGGACAACGTTGCATATTCAGGCTTCCACCTTGAATCGGAACGGTTTCTCCTTCGGCGAACTTCATGCGCGAACTTCGAAAGCTATTAGTCATTAATAAATAATTTGAACGCAGTCGATATTTCCGCGTAAGATATGGCATTATGAGAACTCTACGGCGAAGTCATAAAGCTCCTTACTAGTTCATGTTCCCGGTTGAAAAGCAGTAACATTATAAGAAGTTTGCAGTCGTACTTACCTTGTCTAGAAAGGGATCAAACTGCGGTGCATTCTGCGCAATGTATTATGCAGTCGCGGGGCGGGCGCCTCGGTAAGCGGCTCGGAATCACTCCCGAGGAACACCGCTTAGATTCGTTGAAATCGTTCCATTTCAAAAGTTCAAAGAATGCTATATTGCGTATATCGCGTCTGAATATCTCGGGAACTACCTGCAATAGATCAGATGATAGTATTTCGCTGCAGTTCCTTGCGTGATCTCGAATCTTTGTCTCTTTAAATATTAAAGTAAAATCTTTTATATGTTCATTGAATGTAAATTAATTGAATATCTATTTTAGATAAAACACTTTAACGGATTAAAGCGCGATATATTAGTTATTTGGAAATTATTTTTAGCATTTGTCAGAGACATCCTCCATCTTTAGTCACCCCGTGACCACGACTGCTGCAAAGCATCAGAAACGTCGGGCCAAAGTTAAAACAGAGTTAGAGTTTTAATTAATAATATTTTGATAATAAATAATACATTTAGAAATTAAATATAAATGGCTCTTAGTGTTTGTTAGAATCTCGTCTTGTCACCAATTTCTTCAGTCTACGATGAGCTTACAATTAATTTATTTTTACCGAATTTTTTTCAATTATATAATATGCACCACTATATATATATATATATATATATATATATTAAACATTTGACGGTAAAATTCCGATGTATACAAAAATATATGTTGTCTGTACACGAATCTTATACACTAGACGTGTTACGAAAACTCTCTCAAGACACGGCAACGAGCGAACGAGCTGCACCGGCTGAACTCAAAATGTTTTATTGCGTTATTGTTTTCGAACGTGAAAGTTATAGCATAGACCCGTATCTATTGTAGAACAAGTGATTAATGAAAGCTTTTTAACTTTACAGCTCAGATTTGTAACTGAGATAATGAATGTGGAAAGTTTTCATATATGTAGATATAGCTAATAGCTGAAGGGTTGTAGGTTTGATTCTAGATGCAGATTCAATAAAGCTTCTGTCTATATTCAAACCATTAGAAGATATCACCATTAGAAAATCCATACAAATACAAATGACATGGTAGCGTCTATCTCCTTAACGGTATCCAGAGAATTGTTTCAGTATTGGACAGTAACATTTCATTGTCATTTCAGACATTAAACATCCTTTACTTATCACGTTTCACGCGAGCTTCCTGCGTCCGCTCTCTATACGATTAATTTAAGTCGATAAATCGGCATAAAAACCCAGACCACGGTCAGCCAAGCGCGCCGCTCTCTAACTATTACGAGTTCTTTGTTCTCCACCGCTTATACCAGTCATTGCGCTCTTTTCATTTCACGATCTAATCCACTTATTCTATAGAGGACCAGTACCTTTTCGTGGTCGATAAGGAATTGATAAATGTTCGGGGGCTTTATGGTGTTTAAGTTAGCCCGTGTAACAGCCTAGACAGACAGGCAGCGTGGCCGGCGCCCGCTAGCCCATTAGACAGGCGTTGCCGTCGGCCCTATGTAGAACGCTCGATAAACTTGTAAAAACGCCTTCTACCCATTTAATTTTATAGCCACGCTTAAGCCTCCTATTGGCAGATTTCCTTCCTTTTTTATGTCGTCATTAATTGTATCATCTATTTTTACGCGCCTTCTGTACACATTAATTATGTGTTTATTAGTTCTCGGTTTGCCTCTAGTATTTATACTAATAGACTTCAACGATAGACGTTTCGCCAAGTTAAGGACCTCCGAACACACTAAAGGCACGTTCGTGAACTTTTATACGGTGAATTTGATTATGTAATTCCTTGGAAATATTCAAGTTCTCCCTTCAGCGAGACGTTATCGCGGGTGGGTTCTCAACGCGTGCAGGCGTGGGCGGGCCTTCCCCGCGGGGACTTAATTTGTTGCTCTCCTGGCGCCTCGCATATCACTTTCAAATGGTGTAACGCGACCTTACCGCATCCCTTTCTAAGATCTAACCATCTTCCTTAACCAAATTCTGAGCAGATTCGCTGAAAATTCTCAATCAGATATATATTTATAAATTACCAATAGTATCTTTCCAATGGTAAAACGTAATTGTATAAATTGAATATTAACACCAAAGCCGATACATTTATGAACACGAAAATCTCATCAAAATAGTAGACAGCTAGCTGTGAAATATTTATAGAACTAACAAGAATTCATGAATAGATGGAATATTATATTGGCTTTTGTTTAGTAATAGGACGGATTGTACTTTTACTGAATTGTGTAATACGCTTCTTTACAACCTTCGTAATATTATTCCTTTTGTAATCATATAATTTGGTAACCTAATTACCCATGTAACAGATTTGGATGGATAAAAACCTAGTCTATGCTTTTGTAAACGGTAAATCCTGTTCATTCGCACGTATTCTAAACAATGAGACAAACATAAACAATGGACCAGCCCTTTGTATAACAAACAAGAGAATAGCCGAAATTTTTAGTCTATGAGGAGCCCCTAAATAGGACGCATCACACACACTCATTACTCAGCCACCGAATTTGGCGTAGTCAAAGTGTAACGATAATGATGCAGAGCGAGTTCAACCCCCATACGTCCGCTAACCAAACCTAACACCTCTCATGGGAAGTCCTAAAAGCCACTTTATGTGAAGTAAAGTCTCACATTTGGCAGTTGTGCAAAACTTCGCGGCTTTTGCGGTACATAAACAAACTAGCACACGTGTGCGAGCGACCGCGTATCGATTGATGTAACTTAAATGCATAGTTTTCGGCTGCGGTGTCCATCAGCCTCCGCCAAATATTCCGCTGCGGGCGCTTGGCAGCATGGCCGAACTGTGAGGGCTGACTTCCTAATAACATGTATTTATACCAGAGATACAACGCAAAGCTTCGATTCCTCATAAAGTTGGGAAGCACTAGCCGCTAACCGAAGTCCGGACAAAGCTGTAGATAGCCGCACAGAGACGTTAGCAATTCCTTTAATGTAACAAGTTTTCCTTCTAAAACTAAACAGATTCGGTCGAATAAAAGTCGGAATTACCTATACATATAGCATTCAGAATATGATACTTTCGCGAATTCGACGTTAGTGATAAATGGTTTAATAATGCATACGTTCCCATGTCTAATGTCTTCTTAATGCTGCATAGAGTTAGCTTTGCACGTACCAATTTGAGATTTTCAACTCCCATATTTTACGGTGGTTCGTGTTCAAATAAAAATATAAACACATTTTCTAAATTCTATCAGATTAATATGACTCATATTAACTGAATAATTGTAATGATATCATAGATTAATTATTGTGTTTCTTTTCTTTTCGTATAATATACGAAAAAAAAATTTGTTTAGTCAACTGAAGTATTGTGCTGATGTTTCGATTTTGTTCATAGTGGAGTCAACGTACATTAACTACGCCCGTTATACGATAGATCCTAAAACATAACATGAGTATAGAATTGGTATTGTTACAAGAAACTGATGCAGTTGAACATTTTCCATTGCTAGAGTTAAATATAAAAGATCGATTTGAATGTAAGTTTTTTAGCTCGTAGTCTTCGGCTCGCCGCGTTCTCCTTTTGTTCTCCGAACGTGATCTGCCCGACTCGAGATGAAGCCCACCGACGTTATTGCTCCGTTCCTAGTTTCAATCCAGTCCTTTACCTGTCACGATGCTCAAGCGTAAAACTGCTTGTATCTAAAAGAATAGCTTTTCACAAATGGCCTATCTCCCTATACTATTACATGCATCAAAAACTAAATCCTTTCTCATCAAGAGCTTTCTGTTGTAGTAGATTTGTAACAAGTATTTTAATCGTTATTTCTGTGTATTTCGCTTTTTTCGACTTTACCAAGTCTCTTTGGTTGTCGATATAAATGTATTGTACAGTCTAACACTTTAGGTGAGACCAATGCGATGAATTTTAAATTCTGGTCACAAGTCGAAGAGCGATGTTGAATGCAACCAAATGCGTGTGCATATCGGCTGTCGCGGTGTTGAGTGCCGGATCCGTGTGGCGAACACTCCGGAGCAGTTATCTAAGTATCGCTTGGCTACGTCCGTTGTGGCTCTCGTGTTTATTTTTAGTTTCGCGTGTACATTCAGTATAGCGATGAAATTTACAGCGATCACCGCGCCTCGCTGCCCGACGCCCGCTGGACCCCGATATCGCTCCGAATGACAAGCTGCCGATATTTCATAAATGTCTGCCATTTTACGCGAGAATAACCGCTCGGTCGATGAGCAATAATTCTTTTGTTCAACGGATAAAAGTCCTTTTGATATTGCTTTTATGACATACTTGTAAGTTGCTACTTATTGAAAGTACGTTCGCGTTTACCTTTTGAATTGTTTATTATATTTATTAGCGGCGTACCTAAAACAAAGGTAGACCTAAATACCCGTTATAATAGTTTAGAATTATATTTATTAAACTTCAAGAATACATTTCATTTTCAAACAAAAATAACTCCTCAAACATTTCACATAGCACGTACGTTACCTTACATCGTGTACTTGTTCGTCAAAACACCATTAGCGGCCGCGTAGCGCGATCCCCTTGTCAAGCTGAGATTTGGCGTGACTTAGTGACTGATTAGCAATTGCTACGAGCTTGCGGGCGCGACAGGTGGTTGAGCCACGGCCAAAGCTCTGACCCACGCCTTTGACTGATTGATGGCATCCTTTCTTGTCACAGATGCTGAATCTATTTCACAGTTGCCTTTGCCTCTCATAAATCGCATTAGGGAAGAATGTCACGCGGCGTTCTTAATACTCGGTTCGGCCGCGGTCTAATAACACGAGGTCGAGTCAAAGCTCATGCATATTCACGGCGACCGGCGCTCATCTGTAACGGTCTTACGACCGGTTGTATGAGCTCATTGTTGCATATATCCGTCCATATGGTCTACGCGTCGCCCGGCGCCCTCTGTCCTCGCCGTTTCGTCGGCTGCATCTAACCTTTTCTTGCACGTAATAACGCTGCGTCGAAATTTAAATTTGCATTGACATAAAATTAACTGGTTATTCAATCATTTCAAGGAAATCAAATGCCGTTTGAGAGACACATTAACCTTTACGGTTCTTTAATGCGCGTTTTACAATCGTTTTTATTTTAAGATTGTAAATCGTATCTATTCATATAAAAGGTTCGTTTCAAATGTTTTAATTTTAAATAAAGACAATATATTATGTACTGTGAAAACTTTATTATTTTTTTCATGTTATTTCACATGAAGGCACTATATAATTTAAAAATCGTAAATAAATTGAAAAAGTTTTCGACTCGAATAGGACTTGAACCGGCATCGTCGCGTTCCGTGCTGTTGCTCTACCAATTGAGCTCAATAACTTATTTTAGTTTTTTTTAATATTACCTATACTAAAGAAATACTATGACCTTAGGAAAATAAGTCGAACCATCTATGACGTTTTTTGAGTCACACTTATACATAATTTATTTATTTATGAAAACTTACTCTACAATAGTGAATAAACGACGATACATATATTTCGTATTTATATGTAAATATCATGTTCTATTAATAAAACCTAGATTGATACTTCTAAATTGATGTGAAAATTATTAGCAGAATTATAACTTCCTAATATTCTTATAAGAATTGCATTATAAGTAAACATCTATACATAAAAATAAGGAATCTCAACGAATTTCTTGGCAACTACACTATGAATGGCGCCATAACGCTTAAGCAATATTTATTGTAAGCTACGCTGCGTATCCTAGCAATTCGACAACGGCTTTAGACTACAATGGCAGGGTCAGTTAAGGAACGTCGCCAGTTGATATTTATATTCTAATTAGGTGCCAGCAACAACGCCTCGAGGGTGCATGCGTAATACGAAATTGTTTTCTTAACACGCTCTAATAATAACATTTGACATAGTACAACGCGGCGATTAAAGATAAGGGTGGTATTATTTTAATTTTACAGCCGTTTTCTTAATTTTATTTGCTTACGATTTACATAAATGGTGTGTCAATTGTTGTTTAATTAAAAAGTTGACGTTTGAAAATTTTAAAATTCTTCAAATATTATTGCACATGATGGCACTATATAAATAAAAAATCTAGTTTAAATCAGACAGGACTTGAACCGGCATCCAGAATGATCCGCGCTGTTGCTCTAAACCAATTGAGCTACCGAAGCATTTTACAACAAAAAATATGGGGGGGGGGGTTAAAAAAAAAAAAAAAAAAAAGGAAAAAAAAAACATCCTTTTGCCGGGCCCCCTTTTCGCTTATCAAAAAGCATTTCTAACATAAAAATATTTATATTATACCAGACGAAAAACGTCCTTCTTCATTCATCCTACCCATCCGGGTTTCCTTGCTCTAAAGTCTATGCAATAACGCGTTAAAGACAAAGTAAAATAGGTATTATAGATAACATAAATTTCGTGTTTTAAACCGTTAAAAGTATTTTATTTGAATTTGTACTACTCGCATAAACTACAGACAATATTTTCAAATACTGTACCGTACCGTACACCGTAGGTTCACGATCTAACAATCGCCTCGCCAGGATATTCGAGGCACGTCACCGACTCGCGAGCAGGTCCATCTTTGCCGGCAATAAAATAAAGATGGTGCAGTAATGCATTTTACATTTTGAAGGATCATTAAATTGTGCATTACTCGGCCCGAGCCCGCAGAGGGGCAATTAAAAAAGAACTGTAAAGACGCTACTCTTGAACTGAAGTCGTGTTCTCGACTGATTAAAACTGCTCTATTCTTAGCTTGCATTAAATTTTAATCAAGACAGTTCCGCGACTTGTAACTTGCTACCTTGGAAACTATATGACACGATGTGGCAATCGTACACCGCTTTGCATATTTCAAATTTAATTCACTTCGGGGGAAATTTTGTCATTTCTCACTGATCATACGTGCAGACAATTCGTTGATTCTGTTGTTACTAAGAAATTTAATACAGACTTAAAAATTACTGCCTTAAAAATGTTACGCGTATGTACTTCGCATTTCAATTCTAAACTACCCTCAATCAAAGGTTTATAAATTGTAAAAGCCAAGAAGCTTTAATGAAAGTATTGATTAAACAGACAGAGCTTAGTATACAAACTCAATTAAGTACCCTCCAGTTCGATTAATTAGTGCGTTATAATTTGTACCAATAAATAAATGTTGATAAACGGTCTATTGTCGAATCCAATTTATTATTATGAAGAGATGCGTATGTGACGAACAAAACTCGCATAAATGAGAGGTTTTCAGTGATCGTACATTTAATTGTTATAAAACTGTTTCAATTGTGATAAAGTGCAATAACGAAGTGCTTAATAAATAATGAACGCAACTCTTTGTTATTTATTTCATGAATTTTGTCATCAAAACGGGATTAGTTTCAATATATTATTTGTTAAATACTGTCTGTAGTTTACGCGAATAGTACCCATTTATAATAGTTACACTTATTTAAAAAATATTTTAACGACGGCCCGACATTTCGGATGCTTAGCAGCAGCCGTGATCTCGGGGTGCCTCCCCGCGACGACGTAACTAATATGTGTTTTATTTAAATACTAATTGTTCATAATCAGCAATTTTTTCTCAATTATGTCAAATTCTAATTGTGATTTCGACAATTTTCAATAAGCCTTTTTCGATTTAATTCATATTAACTGGCGATATGCTAGTTATCGTTAGGGAACGTGCTAAACGAGAGGAGGAATTCCATAAACTCGTTTCACTGTAAATGAAATTCAATATTTGCTCTGGACATTCAATAAGAATGGCGCCATGTCGTAGGTTTCATATCGTTTAGCCATTCCTATATTGTGCTTCCCCACAACGCGTACAACTTCATGGCTCAATTTTTATAATTTGCCGTATAAGACATAATAGGGATAGCAAATTGTAGCTCTTAAAGTATTTTGTAAATATATCGTGCGTCGAGCTTGCATATATTCACTTATTTATGTTTTATTATTTCTTGTACATCTGTAGTACATGTCTTAACAATAATAAATAATACATTTATTGTAACAAACTCTCTTGTTATTCTTCTTAAAATAATTATTTTAATTCCGTCTTGATATCGCTAGTAAATAAAGAGATTATCTACAGCGTTTTAAGTGAAATATTACTGATTCAACTTCCGCCTCTAACCTACGCACTTTGCTTAGAAACACGATTCTTAGTGTTTATTATTGCTGTATCTATATCCTGTTATTACCTACGTGTTAATAATGGCATGGTACGTGATATAATTTCAAATAATTGATTTTTCAATCGTGGCTCGGTACAACCGCAAGTTATTAATAATATAAGTAGTAAGCGCTTGTTTTGCATGAACTCACACTGAGCTATATTTATTTAAGCCGCTTTATCCTTCAGTTCACAACAACGTATTACTGTTTGTAAAACGTTCGTCTTTAACAGCAGTGATCTTATTAAACTTTTTAAATTATTCTTCACATTTATAGAATCGAGTAGCGAATATAGGAATCATTGATTTGATTAGTTTTGATCTTTTTCCACGATCTGTCCTTCATAAAAATAATTCTATGTACTCCCAATTGTACATTCAATGTTAAAACGTACACGACAAAGTTGTTTTTTACTATTCCACTACCTTACAGTCTTGTAGCAACTGGAAAAGTTTTCCGCTTCGCGTGCGCTTATGGTAGAGCTTGTACTAACTTTGTTCATTAACTAACAAGCTAGTATTTAATGCCTTAATTGGTACATACAGCCTTCGAGCGGATTTATTTTACTATATAACTTAGGGGCATCTGCCTTGTGCTTATTCTTTGAGTGTCTATTTTATTGCAATTGACCTAATCTTCTTCAACATATGTGAATACAATTTTAGAATGATTTTCTAGTTCCATATTCAAATAAAACAAAATGGCCGTGTACCTTCGTTTCGTATTGACACGAATCGAAAACCGCTCGCGAGGAACGTGGGTGACTGTCAATATCTAAGCGTGTGTCGCAAAGTGCAATTCACATACGAGTTACGAAATATAAACAGTTGATACAATACATTTCGTACATATTTAGAAACGTGCGCAGGTCGGTTCTGCAGTGTTATTTAATATACGCGACCTATTTGTGGTCAAGCATGCTGCTAGACGCTCGTACAGAGTGGTGTCGAGTAATACTAAACCTGTTTGGAGGTTAGTACATTGATATACATGATACTTGGGGTGAAGTGACCTGTAATATT